TCTGTTACTGTTCGGTTAGTATGTCCCTGAAAATGAATCCGCGACGGATTTCAAAATGTCAGGCAAATAAACAAACATAGTCTTAAATGAGATTGACTGATGTGTCTAGCTTTGTAACTATGGCGACCTTCCGATGAGTCGTTGCTTTTTGAAACGATAGCGCTTAACAACAAAAAGTCTGCAATTTATCCGGCAGCATAAGCTCAACTATGCATGATTTATTCTTCTCCAGCAAATGACAAAAGCGATTGGAGCGCTGACGTTTTACAGGCAGATTTGTGAATCGCAATAGGACCTGTGTTATCTGCTCGCAAGCACTACTCCGTGCAGCGCCTAAGGCCGTTTTTGCGGACGATACCTCCAGTTCAGCCCAGGCCTTTTTTCTCCAAGAATTATCTGGAGAAAGACCTACCAACATTTTCTCAGGATCTTCTACGATATGATCTAGTTTGATGGCCTTTTGAACAACTCGACAAGACAGCATTTCATGTTATCAAGTAAGAAGAGGAAAATAACTGCATCGAACGTGGCAGTCGCGAGCAGGTCCTGTATATTTACTGGGTTAAGGCTGTTAATACGGACACTTTACGGTAAAAGCTGTCCGTGTCCACTGTTCCCATCGCCCGAATAATACGATTCCTTGCATGTCCGAAGCCTCAAACTGCAACGGCACCCAACTCCAACAACGCTGTCACCGGGAGGGGACATCAGGTCCACTTTCCTCAGCTTGTCGTTACTCATATAGTTAAGGCACCAGTTGTCTTCGGACCTTAAAGGAACGTTTTCTAGGATTTTGTTCGCTGAGCGATATTTCAATGACTCATCCTGTTTTCGTTTGCCGTGATTTGCATCACGCGTGATAAGTGAAATCCCCTCACATTTTCGAAGGTTATCGACAGCGCCACTGCTCCAACCGCGCATGCGCTCGATGTGAATCGATAAAGCCGTTTCACCTGATTGGCTGTGCAGACGTGAAAGAACAAACTGCGCAGTCAACGCTACACAAGAGCACACTGTTATGGACACATCTGGCCCCTACCCCGAGCATCCTGAACATAATAGAAAACAAAAGTTTGCCCAACATATGTTTCTGACAAATAAGTCCGAGTTCCTCGACGTCTCTGTGCTTCTTGGCGTCACATTTTAGCATCGAGCGTTCTCACATGAATTCCGGTCTGACTGGTAAAATATCATGGTTCCACTGCAAATATGCATGAGACTGTAATAGATGAAGGTAAAGTCAGTGATATTAAGATCCCTTATGGTAGTAGTCGAATACGGATACCCTGTGTAGGCACCTACTTAAAACTGTTTGTATTGGTGCATATTTATATAGACGGCTGTGGAGATGTTATCAGGCTCAGATATACCATGGTAGCTCATCGTACTGTCTATTGCATTTTACAATACACATATGTTAACTCCAAAATGCATAACCGCCCTGCTTTATAGAAACGTCGAAAATTTTCCAACTTCCCATAGGCGTACATTTTGCAAATTCCACCTTGAATCAGCCTGTTCCGCACAGAAGGGATACTCGATATTTTCATAACCGAAACAACACATAAGCACATTTTTTATTTTAATTTTCTATATACTATGGGATGAAAAAGTAAACTACACTGCAAATGAAATAAGGGAACGAAGACGGTTGGTGATTCTATTGTCTGTCTACCGCAAACCGTAATGGAACAGCATGTGTTTTTCGTATCTGAAAAATTGAAACAATATATGTTTAAGCCCAAGTGCCAGAAAAACTTATGTTTGTAAAAAATTGCAAATCTGACAAGTGGACACATAAAATAAGTACTTTTTATCATGCGGCTGGGGATTAAACGTTGATAATACATAACATCATTTCCAGATGGAAGCATAAAAACGTTAAAGTAGCTGCAGCCCAAATTGTCTACATGTGTTCCTCACTAAAACAGCAAACCCATTTCCTTATTGAATCACAAAATAGCGTTTTAGCTGTCTGTAAATGCCGCTATAACTTTCAGGAGCTGCTTGATGTCCTTGTGGAAGGAAATTCTACTAATTGTCTTCCTCTATTAAATTCCATGGATGTGCACAATTAAACAGTCAAGAAACGCGTGAACAATCTATTATAGCATAACACTACAGTACGTGAAAATATATGCATTGTATAAAAGAAAGCTCGCACATGAAAAAAATAAAAGACATGTTTGAAAGCATAATCAACTCTAGACAAAGACTTCATATTAATTTGGGAATGCAGGCATTTATTGTATGCAAATTGATTCTTACCTTGTTTGGTTATCTCTATATGAAAACAAAAATATCAGAGGCAGCACTTTTAGTACGCACTATCATCAATCAATCGTGCTGATTCTACAGCTACTGTTTAGAAGAATTAAGGTACATTTTAAAAAAATTACCACCGAAAATGCTACTTAAATAGGGGCAGAAATTGGACTGGAATTACACGAAGCAGTCATAAAAGATCGTTTATCGATACTTTTCAGAGTCATACAGCCGATTAATATATCCGCCACCTAGAGTGACTCCTTCTGCCCAGAATATTACATCTTACTCGAAGCGAACTCCTAAGCAGACGCGTTAAACAAGCCATATCGCTAACCTCCCTAGCAGGCAACGTTCGGCTGCTATTCTTAACCAACTCGGTCCTGCAAGGCGAAGGTAATGATAGGCCGTCAGCTCAAACTACTTCTATGTGGATATACAAATTTACTTGCTCCTGCGGAGCAGGTTATATCCTTGCCCAAATGGTCGACTCGGCACATCGTGTGGAAACCAACAAAGCCTTCAACGTAAATTACAATGTCCCTCCAAACTTCACAAGTCCCTGGGTCAGCGTTTGCTAGCAACGGCAGAAGCAACCGCGATCCAGTTGAGGAAGCCGGTTCTGTGC